AGTTTCTCTTTCATCCTAATTAGTCTAATAAGTCTACGAATAGATATACGATTATATCTAGACAATCCAGACAGTTCAGGTGTATAATGTTTTCAGATAAAAGCGCTTTAAAAATATATATAAAAATATAAATGAATAATTACACACACGAAGATCACGCGTAGATTGTCGTAATAATAATCAAGGGAGGAGGAATTCTTTATGACATTATCGTGTGTTTTACACGCGTCTAACCACCGCTGTCCACGCATTTCTATTTTCTCTAACACTGCACTTCTCAGTTAATCCTCAGCAGCAAAACAGTCGATCAAACATGCGTGAGACAAAAGAAAATTAAAATGAAACGCGAGAGCGTCACACGCTGACGCGATGTAACAATCGCCACGCACTTTATACCAACTACGTTGCCATGGTAAAGGAAAGCTTATAGGATTTCTCGTTTCTATCACTGGTTTACTGTAGTTTCCATCGAGAGTGGAAGCGGTAAGCAGCTCTTTTCCCGGTGCGCGGCTCTTACCAAGCTGAGATGGAGCCTTTCAAGAACGTCTTGTCGAACGTCTCAGCGACCATGGGAATAACAGGTAGGAAGAAGTAGACGGCAGAAAAAGAAGAAGACAGACAGAGGAAAAGAAAGTGAGGGGGGAGAAGGAAATAGAGAGAGCGCCGGAAAGAGAGACGCGAGGGTGAGAACGGGGCGCGTACGCGCGTACACGTCAATGTCGCTAACATACGACCCAAAGTATTTCCACACAATTGGTCGTGATAACATTCGCAGCAGTAAGTTAGTTGTCGTCAGTATCTAACGATTCCCGATGATATTGTGAAAAATAGAGAGGAAGATCGTGGTGTTCGAGAGCCTACTCTGCGCTCCGCACCACCTAACACAAGAAACAGCAAGCGAGAGAGAGAGAGAGAAAAGAGAGAAAGAGAGAGAGTTCGTCAAACATAGCCCTCGACTAATTAGCGAGAGATGCGCACTTGCTTGAATGTCCGTCGATAACTGCTTGTGGCCGATCAATTAAAGTAATTAACGCGGAAAATGAAATCCTGCGTATTTTAACTGTTTCGAAGGTGCACGACTCGAATAACTTCGAAGACATCTCGTATAAACAGACCAAGAATAATATTTAAATGAATGGTTACACGATTCTCCTCTCGTTCCTTCGTACGAATCAAACGGAATTAAACGTCGCTGTCGGCTCTACTCTGATCGACAGCGCGATTTAATAAACGCGTTTTCGTACTCGAAAAACCGCGCGTCATGCGCACGTATACCCTAAAAATAATTCACTATAAATATATCTAAATGAAATAAATAATCTAGCTGCGTTCGCGTACGTATGTGAATATTTATGCAGCGGCAATTAGAAGTCGAAAAGGTGAACAAGAATGATCATATTAATTTCGGTAATTATATGCATCGCGCACACGTAACGGCAGCTGCGAATCAATAAAAATATAAATCATGACGTTTAATAGGGACACCGTAGACACAAAGCGCGAGACGATTACTTCATCGCGAAGTAACTCATACTGATGTGGGCATGCACACACATGTGCGCTGAACTGAGAGCCCCTATCTCACTGTCAGAATTCTAAAGAAGCCGGTTCTCGATCTCGTCAGATAACTCCGCCTCTTCCTCTCGCTTCGAACGAAAGAGTATTATTTTTCGTTAACGCAAACTTTCAGCAGAAATCGCCGAGCGGGTCGCGATGATCGGCGACGAGAAGAAAAGTAAATGACTCCACGCCTGCGGGTCAAGGTAATTTTCACGAACGATGGGGATCAATCGTGGTGATATTTTGCGGACTCATCTGCCACGCGTCGTGACATATTATTAATTAACCATTAATCGACGAATTTCGGGAAAAAGCGAAAACGTGCGACTGAATATTTTCAGATGGCGAGGGATTGCAATAAACGTACGGGGCGCCGAGAGCGCGTTCGCAGAATGAGGATAGTGCGATGCGCGGGAAGAGGGGCGAAAAGGGGTGCGCTGATACGCGACCGAGAAGAGGGCGGAAAAGGGGATAAACGCAGCGAGAGCGTACGCAAGCTCCAGCTGCAAGCAATAAACGTGCATTAAGCCACGCACATGTGGTCCGAAACCATCGGGATTATGGCGAGAGCTAATTAACCCCCTCAAACGACCGCTGTCTATCTCCCTCTCACTTACTCACTCCATCACTCCTGTTTCTCTACTGCCCTCCCTCTTTACTGTCCCTCCGCGCTAGCCTCGCTACACTATTTTGACAGACTGACCGATCACGCAACGCAACAGAACGAACTTCGCTACTCGGTCGACAAACACAACGGAATTTTCGCCAACTTCAACCATCCCTAGTCCTGCGGGCCGTGTCGTGCCACGTGAAGGGTGAAATAGCCGAAAAGCGCAAGTACTTTCTTCTCCCTTCCTCTCTTTCTGTCTCTCTCTCTCTCTCTCTCTTTCCCTTTTTTCAATCCGACCGAACGCGCGGGCGCGATAATCGGCCGTGGCACAATGGCCAGCTAAACGAATTGCTGTCTGGCAGCCAATTGGAATCTCGGTGCATCGAGTCGCCGGGGCCGCATTGTTGCAGCGACCACCGCCGTCGTGGATAGCCTCTGTCCAGCAGCCAGGCCACCACGTCTCTCTTCTCTCTCTCTCGTATACGACATCTCTCTCTCTCTCTCTCTCTCTCTCTCTCTCTCTCTCTCTCTCTCTCTCTCT